ACTTAAGGCTTAGTCTTGTGGTACGTGGCTAGATCTAGTGTTTGCAGGAGTCTTCTTAATTTTTCTATAGATTTGTGTCTCAGTAAAAAAATGTATAGAAGTTGTAGTATTAGAGAACCTCAAATTATTGAATGTGGCTTGTTTTCTTGTAAATGAGCTAGAATCTATTTAAGTTTTTTATGCTGATAAGGAGCTCAATTTTTTCTGCTCTTTCTGTCATCAGAACCGATAGTCGCTCTGCCCTTCCTGGGTAGGAGTAAGGCTGCGTACATCCTACCCTCCCCAAACACCACTTGTGGGAATACACTGGGTTGTTGTTGTTATTGTCTGTCATCAGAGCCGATAGTTCCATCATTTTTTCTCATTAGTTAATGATTTTTTACCAAAAAGAGTAATTTTAGTATAATTGGTTGTTGGTTATAGGATCTAAATAGAAATAACTCTCTCTCTCACGAGCAATGGTGACTTGAATTTTTTGTTTTTCTCTCTAGACAATTATTTAGGCAGTGTGGTCTCCAGCAAGAATATGAAAACATCATAAGAGGATAGGACTGTACTTTAGTGTATCATCATAGCAACTTGATGCGGCAAGAAGTACATCATTTAAATGGTCATATGTACCCTAATTATCTGGGCAATTCTCCAGAAATTATTTTTGAGACTTAATATTTATTGAATCGTGTGATAAGAGAATGTAGCGAAAATGAGGATGCTTAGATGCATGTGTGGGCATACTAGGAGAAACAACATCAAGAATAAAGATATACGGAGCAAGGTGGGAGTGGCTTCAGCGTGGACAAGATGCAGAAAGCGAGACTGAGATGGTTCGGGTATGTGAAGAGGAGGAGCACAAATGCCTCAGTGAAGAGAGTGCGAGAGGTTGGCGGTGATAGGTCTAAAAAGAGGTAGAGGTAGACCGAGGAAGAATTGGTGAGAGGTGATTAGACAGGACATGATACATCTTTAGCTCACCGAGAACATGACCCTAGATAAGAGAACATGGAGGTCGAGGATCAGGGCAGAAGGTTAGTAATACATCGAGCGATTAGGGTAGAAGATTAGTATGTAGTCTAGCGATTCCTCTCCTTTATTTGGGGAACTTGGTTCTAGTTTAGAGCATCTTAGCTGCTCCCTCTTCTCCTTCCCAATATTATTGTTATTATGCTATCTTTATCTTATTATTCAATTGTATGACTACTATGCTTCTTTTACTTTGGTTTATTGTACTATTTTTTGCCGTCATGACTTTTTTGTACTATAGTATTTTCATCGTAGCCTTTTTACTCGTGTACTTTCAAACCTGTTTCGAAAAATGCTTTTCTTGAGCCGAGGGTCTATTGGAAACAATATCTCTACCCCATAAAGGTAGAGGTAAGGTTTACGTACACCTTGCCCTTCTCCGACCCCACTTGTGGTATCATACTTGGTATGTTGCTGTTGTCGTTATCGTCGTTGTCGTTGTTGTTGTGTGATATAGAGATATGTTTTACTAAGATGCTTATGGCCTTCTTGTGCAATAAGTGGACTGAAGGTTGATTTTTCCTACTTCTCTGCCCGTGTAGGACGGGGATAATTTTTTTCTGGAGTTACGATGTTTCCTTGGGCTGTAGTCTTATATGCTAAATATGTACTACTGCTATTTCTTCCTTTCTCTTTTGACAACATTCTTTTGAGTTTTTAGGAGCAAATTTTTTCCTTTTTCCCTGTGTTACAAACTATTTTGAATTTATTTCCAAAAGTTTGCTTTTCCTGTGCTAAAAGGTTTCTTTGAGAATTGGGAGTCATTTGGACAAAAGAAGTTACCTAAACCATTTGAAATTTTTTAAGAATACTTTATTTGGTAAAAGATTTTCTCTAAATAATTTTTGTGTGAAGTGCCCACATGCACGTTTAGAACTGCAAAAGCTTTTTGCACATTAAAAAACGCACGGAACTTCAGAAGAAATACGACTATCCAAATTTATACTTTTGTTTCATGAACTTGTTTTCCTTTTTTTTTTCCAAAACACTTTTTCCATAAATTATTCAAATGCCTTATCATGTCTACAGTAATTAAGATATCAACACCCTGTATTAAATTATCTGGTGCTCCTGTATCAACATCATGCGAAATTTGCTCTTTATACTTGGCCTTCTCTGATTTATGAGGAGCTGCATCTTCTCATAATTGCATGTGCAATAAGAACCTTGCACAGACCTTCATTAGTAAGTGGGATCACTTTGGTGAAGCTCATGATTGCATTATCTGAACATGAATGTAAATTTTTGCAGCCATTGACTGCAAAAGCTTCTTGCACACTCAAAAACTCACGGAACTTTAGAAG